GAAGAGTTGTAAACTATACGACTTCTTGTTCGAGTAGGAAGATATCGGTTTTTCTCGTTCCTTCTCTTCGATAAGAATAGGGATTTGAAATGATACAAATTCCTCTTCATTCTGTTGTGCTCAGCGAAGGAACTGCCTAAGCATACTTTTTCGGATCCAAATCTTTCTAAGTCTTCTTCTTGCATAAAAGAACACACCCATTGCAAAAACCGGGATTTTAGTAGTAGGTGGCATCCCCTCTTAGTTTTGAGTAGGTGGAACCATTCTGTTTTGGTTCTTCTCCACATTCTTACCGGGTGATCCAGGAATTTTCCTATGATTTTTTCAACTGATATTTCGATATAGAAAAATCTCCTTATTTCTTCACCGCGGATTCTCGCGTTATTTTCTTGAAAAGATATTATATCACCGTGGGAAAGTTTAAAATGAGTAATGCTTACCATTCTATTATTCACACAAACCCTTCGATGACTTATCGGCTGCCTTGCTTGAGGAATAGTTTCACGAAAATGGAGACGAACCGGAATAACGTCCGATCTTGTTTCTGGATTGAGTGGAAAAGGGATATATGAAGTTCGTTCTGTTCCTCTGTGCATCTCTGTGATGGGTAAATCCCCATGAAAAAGGGGCAACTTTCGTGTAGTTTGTGATTGGATGTAACTGTTAAGATTTTTTCTCGGATAAATCTTTCTCTTAAAAAATCTCTTCTTCTTCCTCAATCTTCGGAGAATGCGGCGTTGTATTATTGTAAGTTCTCTGTTCCGAACATTTCCTGAAAGTAGACGACAAGTTTTAAATCTTAATGCGGGCATTTCATATCTCGTTGAATCAGTCTTTTTCGCCACATCGCGTATAACGGGTCCTCGAACCAACCTGTCCTTCCTTGGCCGTGTGGAACATGGATTAGCATTATGTCATTCCTACAAGTGATCCCCCATCCCGAGTGTCTGAAAACAGAGTACCCTCTCACTTTTTAGGTTTAGGAAGGTACTCCTTAATGAGCGGCTTCAGCAGATTAGGGTTATCCCTGATTCTATCCCGCCATTCCCGGAGGCTTTCCGCATCAGTCTCTCCGGTGATTTCCAGGTCGTGAGACATAATGTTCTCTGTGGCACTGGAGTGGATTTCTGCCATTTCCGGGAATAGCACGGATAGCCGCACCCCCTGCGCCTTTCTAGACGCTTCGTCAAGTTGTCGGATAATAAGAGTCTTCACCTCTTCTCGAAGTGCGGCACGCTCCTCTTGATCGGGAGCGGGGTGGGCAACTTCTGCCGGTGCTGGCGCCTGCGGCGGGGCCTCTTGAGCCGCCCCCGGGGAAGCGACTGGATTAGCAGGCCCCGGTTGATTCACGGAACCGCTATCGGTGTCCGTATCGGGAAAAGGTTCTAATAGCACCTGCTCCTCGAAGGAAGCCTTCCCCGACCACGAGGTCGAGTTTGACGAGCCCGAACCCCCCGAAGAGGCCAGCATCAGACCGTATTCAGTCTCGGCAGTAATGAAGGTCCCCACACTAAAACTAAAAAGAACAAAAGATAAAACATCAGATAAATAAAGATCTAAATGAAAAAAAAAGTCAAGTTTAATAAAAGAGCAAAAGAAAGAGATGCAAAATAGAAAGGATATATATATTATAAAGACAAGTATAAAGCCGTACTTTTTTTTTTCAAATTAAAAAAAGAAATACGAAAGAGAAAGATCAATCCCCATAAAAGTATTCCCAAAAGTACGAGATGTTTACCTGTGGTCATTATAGCGATTCCTTCTGATCCTAGAAAACGTCCAAAACAGAAGGCAGCTATGGAACTAATCAAGGGAAGTAAATAACGAACGAAAGCCATTGTATTCCTTTGCATTGGAGATACTGGTTTCTTGAGAAAATCACCACCAACTGACTTATGAGTAGAATTCTTTTCAACATTACCAATAGCTCGACCAGAATCACCATAGAATCGATTAGATACAGAAATGAAACCAAACACATAAATGTCTGGCTGCCAGTTTTTAGCCGTGGCGCGGGCCGGTATAAAAAAGTGTCTCATGGTTGTTTTTCTTCCTCATGGGGTGCAGTCCTTCTGTGTGTAGAACATTGGCTCCAATGGGTGCACCTGACAGTTCCCTGTTTCGTTTTTTCAGAAGTCACCAGCTGGCGGGGAGCTGACTGAAGTCTCCCTAGTTGACGACAATGGTCAACCTTTCACGGCCGTAGTGGGTCAAATAGAATGAATCCTATATGTTACCTATTCTATTTGTTTCTTATCCTTTTCTAAAAGGATAAGAAACCCGTATTTAGGTATCGGCCGTACCTACCTAGCTCACGTATGTATCTAGCTCACCTCTGCAGTACGTATCTGGACTACCGTACTATGAGAATTCTGAGATTTCAGGTCTGTCTGTGCTCTTTCTCCCGTTGCCTTCCCCTAGAACTGTTATGTTCCCCTCTCTCTTGCTTCTAGTATCTCCAGAGGATGGACTTCTTCTTTCCCTAAGGCTATTGAAGGGA